ATTGCCTGAAAGATTAATACCGAGAACAGCACAATATTGCTGTTATCGACCTTGCAAGGCTATTAATGCTGTTCTCCGGAATACGTAAGGAGACAAACAACCACTTCAACGAAAGCAAATAAAAGCACTGCTTGCAAAACACGCTGTTCTGTCACATCTCCGGGCTCCACCACCACCACCTTACCCCACAGCTCTAGCACTCGTCTACATGGGAGGCAGGTATCAGTGCATCTAGTGAGGGAGGAGTTTTATCACTCATTAAATCTAAGAAACCAGAGGTGCATTCGCCCTCAGAAGACTGGAATAATGAAACGCAGGCAGTAAGAGCATTCTCATCACAAGTTCTCCATTTTTCAAAAACTCAGGAACAGCACATAGACATGTTGGCTTGAGGCCCCTGTTACAGCATCACCCACTGAGCAGTTTGTACAGGAAATCGAAGTTTGCACAACTACATCAAGAAAAAGTTCCACGCAGCACGAAGGTGTGTGGCACATTCCCTCCAGAAGGATGCCTGCTTATTCAAATATCCATAAACATCCCATTTACTAAATCCCACACAGAGACATTTCGAGGAAATTGTACTCATCAAGCACCGAGCATATCCACAAGGAGCTAGAGCAGCAACCTCGCCAGAATGCTATCACTGAAACAGAGAGAAACCCGCAAAGGATTCCCAGCAGCAAAAGGAGCCTTAACTAAAAACCGCAGGAGACCTGCTCAATGCATTCCGTGATGTAACTGAATAAAAGCTGCCATCCTCTAGACCTAACCAGGGCAGCACAGCTGACCTTGCCTTCAAACAAGGAGCAGCAGTCTCTGCAATCCCCTAATCAAATGGAACTGGACAGGCTGGGGAAAATAACACTTAATTTGGTTAAGAAGAGAGAGAGGGGAACTGAGTGAAAACCTATGAAAAACAGCTTTCATGTACTTGTAAGTCGATCTAACCGTGCCTTTGACTATATGCAAATGATCATGTCTGCATTCAGCAAAACAACAATTCACGTTGCAGAGACAACAACCGTAGACAATGCTGCAACATTACAACACCTGTATCGAGCGTGCGTTCAGCTTTCAGCACCACATGGAGCAACGTGAGTGCTAACCGCTGAGATAAAACCCTGCCAGGAAGGAGAGAGTAAGGAAGGGAAAAAAAGGAAGCAGCCTTCCCCACAGCAGCACCCCAAAGAGGCTCACAGGGTGCTTAGATCTGGCCCCCAAACACTGCAACACCCATTTTAGGTATTCAGACTGGACTTCCAGCCCACTCTGGGAGCAAATTGTCTGCTGTCTTGCTTACTGCTATCTAAAGGTATCTGAGAGCTGGTGATTACAGCACTGCCTATTCCAACACTTTCTTTCTGTTAATAGAGCCTATTTTCTGTTCTCACAAGAGCTTAATTAGTCCTGTTCAGAGCAACAGCAGCTGGCACACCCCAGCAGACTCCACTGCATTTTCCCAGCTAATGAAATCCAGCTGAACCGTGCTGCAAGTTCCCTACACTGACAATTATGTATCCTGTGAACCCTATTCCTACCTACACCTTTGAAGACACCTTTCTGCAAGCAAGTCTGCAGCGCTGAAGTCCTGAAGCAGCGTGGCAGGAGTACATTTCACATAAGGCCAAAGAGAGCTGAGGCCAGGAAGAGAGATCCCCTCCTCCACTAACGGGGCAGCAGAGGTCTGTGGCACTGGAACACAAGAGCAATCGTGACTACATGCAACAAATCAAATATTAGCTTAATTTCTACCTGTCACCCCTACAACATATTTCATCTGCTCAAGGGATCGTTAATATGCACACACACTGAAAAGGCTTCAAAATACTTCCTACCCTGACCACATCAGGGCTCAAACAGATGCCACTTAACAAAAAAACAGCGAGGGACAGGCAGTTCCATACGGGGGTGAAAATTCAAAAGAAGTCATAACTGGAATCATTAAACCAGATGACAAGCTGGTATTAAACATATATTTCCTCTTCCAAACTGCAAACACAGTAATTTTGCCCACACCTCCTTGCTTCGAGTTATTTGCTACTTCTCCAACAAAGCAGCGGTGTAAGCTGTGGCACCTCCTTCCCCAGGAGAGGCTGCCTGCTTACCGCCACCCCGTGAAGGGGACAGCAGCTGCTTGCATTCGCAGAGACTGACACTGAGCCCTGAAAGGAAACATTGATGTTTGCCTTTAAACTGGATCAAGACAAGCATTTTGACATCAAAACAATCAGACAAACTTCCCAGAAAGTGTGTGTACTCACTGGGCAGGATGAAGCGCAGCTCAGGTTCACGATTACCTAATGATAAAAGTCTGAGGCTTATACACCAAACTACTGCCACACACAGAAGGTTATTTTTTTTCAAAGTACTGCAACAGGAACTACGTGGAGATAACTTCTGCTTTTTATTATTTTACATCTTGACCTGCAGCATCCTACTTCTAAGAATAAAAGTGTTCTGGTAGTCGGAACATACTCAAACAAGCAGAAGTTAAAAATGTTTTCAGAAGCCTGTTTTCTGCAGAAGCAAAACTAGCACTAAGTTTATCACCGTATTCTTGCTTTTTTACAAACCAATTTCTTTATTGGACTTTCCTTGACAAACGTATCACTTTAAAAAGCCAAGGCAGCCAGTCACTATGCTAGGTGCAACCAGGGAAACACAACGCCTTGCAGAAAGGATGGGCACTCATTTAAAACAAGATTTATCAGAGGATGATACAATTCGAAGTAATCGCCTTCTCTGTAAACTCTGTCCTAAATACTTCTTTGCAATCACTACCATTATCTTGTGTAAGAGCGTCTTTTAAAATCTACCAACACTGTCTGCCAGAAAATTCACTGAATGACTCAGACACAGACACTTTCAGACCATAAATACTCGGAATTGCTATTTCCATTTCAGAACTACTGCTATTTAAGCGTTTGAATTGATGATGGCATAACAGCATAATAATCCAACAACCGCCTGAAGTTTCCTTATCAAGATTTTCCTCATGTACAGACAACATCTCCACTGACGAAAGCAAGCCTGCTTTCTTTGCGCAGCATCTCGGACAACGCAGTTACACAACCAGAAACCTGTAAAACTTGCAAAATTTCGACTGCCTCACATTGAGCATCTTTGTACGGGGAAGCTCGACACAGCTCCTGGAACGTTCAACTGAAAGCATAAGATGGCAACAGAGGTCCAAGCATTAACATCACTGGCATTACATGCCCTGCCAATTCCCATTAATTTTCCTTCGTGACAAATCAACAAAACCGCTCGCCTAGAGCCAGCACAGGCTTTTCATAGCCCAGCCTTCCCATCCTGCAGCCAGGAGTCACGCTGCAAGTCTGAATCTCACCCACAACTGCCCAAACCACGGCTCACAAGGCACTTGGGCAGACTTGCAGTGAGGCCACCAGTTCAGCGGCACCGACCCCACTCCATCGGTGCAAAGACGGGTGGGGAGAGCCCTTTGTTTGGCTCAGTTCAGGACCCGATACAGTGTAAGCTCCTATGCTCATCACATTTTACATTTGTCATTGAGAACATGTGCATCATAAACAAAAATCTGTTGAAGGAATATTCGCCATGAAAGCCTTTGTTAAGAACTATGCCAAAATACACTCTCTTCCTTCACGCTGGATTATGTTTTCGTATCTGATGTGTACACAGAAAGCTTGATTTGGAAAACTCGGGCAGAGTCTGGATGCAGCTTTTAACTCTGCCATCACCAACTCCAACTCAGTTTCTGCATTAGTGACTGTTCTCACAGGTTTTCACCATGAAGCTGCCAACAGCCTTATCCACAGGCTCTTTAACAACATTTAGTTAAGGGAGTCGCTTCCGGATGATCAACAAACATTACGCTTCCAAGACAACAACAAACTTCTTCTCAAGTTGCCTGCTAACCCCCACTCGCAGTCCTCACATAGGACGAGGTGTCACGGTACAGCTGAAGTTTGCATACATAACAGGTTTCTTTACGAAGCACAAACCACAGCCTAACATCATCATAACTGGAATTGCCTGGCACCCCTACAGGAAGAGACAAAAACAAACCCAAAACATGATCACTTCCCTTTCTGCCTAAAGAATAACAGTTCCGAGCTGCAGATAAGAAAAGAAAACAGGCTGCGTTTCACGACCGCGCTGCACCCGTTCCATGACACATCATCTCGCTCTGATAGTCATAAAGATATTTTCCTCTGCTGCAGCAGCTACCACCCAAATGTGAAGCATTCTTGTGAAGAAAGTGTCTCACTTCTGAAACGCCACAAAACAGCCCCTGGAAGCCGACGGATCTCACAGCAGAGCTCCAGAAGAGGGGGGTGGCTGCGTGGCGCAGCTCTGCGACCTCCAGGAGCGGCAAGGAGCACGGGCAGCACACAGCCTGGAATTTAACACCAGCTACAGCAGGGGAGGGCTGGCAGGAGTTTAAATTACACGCTGGGACCTCAACTCTGGGAGACCAGACTGTGCCCAGAACACACGCCCAGAGGGCCTTCATGGAACCGGGCCTGTTTTAAGGAGTAAACTGCAAATTTAAGGTGTGTGAGACAGCTCAACCACCTGAGGAGCTTCCAGGCTGCGCTAGGGCAGAAAAGTCCCTTTAGATAAGGGATAAGACCTGGAAGCTCTTCTGCTGCGTGACAGGTGCGCGGTGCCTTACCTTGAGTCACTCTGGCTTACAGGCGGTGCAGCTGAAGTTTACCATTAAGGGGTTTCTCACGAATACACCAGCACAGCCATTCTCTAAACGCACTCAATTAGCTGCCTGAGGTTCTAATTAGGGTTAAAACAGATACAACAAGCACCCAGCACACCGCCCGCACCGCTCGCTGTGGCAGCGGCTTTCCCACCTCCAGAGGCCTCCCATCCCCCCCCACACCCCCCCCACCGCCTCACCGGCCGGCCCCGGCCTGGACACCGCGAGGGGACCGAGAGGGGCACCGGGGCCCAGCCGCCGCCCGCCGGGCCCGTCCCGCGCCCCCCCCCCGGGCGCTCACCTGGCAACGGCCGCTGCCCCCCGGCCCCGGCCCGGCCCCGGCCCCGGCCCCGCCGCCTCCTCCCGGCCCTCGGGCGTGAGCAGCGCGCGAGGCCGCCGCCAATGCGGGACGGGGCGGGACGGGACGGGAGGGGACGGGGCGGGAGGGGACAGGAGGGGAGGGAGGGGACGCGCCCCGCGCGCCGGAAGGAGCGGGGAGGGGCGGGGCTGGGGTGTGAGGGGAGAGGGGGCGGGGCTTAGCGCGGCCGCGGGGCGTGCTGGGAAATGTAGGCGCTCGGCCGCGGCGGGGCGGCTCTGATTGGCGGAGCGGGGAGGGGGGTGTTCGCCGCTCAGCGCCGTTGCTGTGGCAGGGAGGGTGCGGCGGGGCGCGGGGAGGGAGGGGTTATCGCCCGTCATGGCTGCCTCCGGGGGTTTGGCGCTGGTGGGGCGGAAAGGGGCCTGCCGTGGGTCACACCAGGTGCTGAGGGCACCTTCCTCCATTGGGCTGAAGGGACCCGGGCTATAATGCAGTGTTTAAGAAGTGCCACCACAACGCTGCGTGCACCCACAGACATTTTAACACCCCCCGCACACATATCCCTAAACCCGGTGCTGGTTTCTGGAAAGCCCGGCTGTTGTGATGCCTCTGGCATGCCTGACACGAGGTGTCTTTGTTAGGCAGTGGGAAGCATAAGCAGAATGGCAGGAAAAGCCCTGTTAAGATAACGCCTTCTGAAACCGCTTCCTTGGGGGAAATAGTGGAAACCCTCAGCCTGGATGCTGTACATCCAAACGGGTCAAAACACAAGGGAAACGGCCTGCCGGAGGATGATCTTGTGTTGTCGAAGAGAACAATTGGATGATCTGGCAGGACTCGTCTAGCTGAAATTTCTGTGGCTCCGCTCGCTTCAGTGCTCCTCGGAGGCGCGCGCCTATAAACTTGGATCCACACCCAGAAATTTAATGGCAAACAATCGAGCGTAAACAAGACAGTTAATGGAAGCAAAATTATCCCCATAAATTAACGTTTCAAACACTTTGGCCCCAAATACATAAAATAAATATCGCCCATTCCTTAAGACCTTGTTTACAAAAACATGATTCCCTATTGCCTCCTTTAAAATACGTCCCAACTCACACATTCATTACAATCTTGAGGGTCTGTATGGCACCTGGGCAGTCACTGAGCACCACAATGGCACTATTGCATGTATTTACGGCTCCTATCATCAATCTGAATGTATTTTGACAGCCCTAGGGCTGCGCAGCAGCGAGCAGCAGCTGCAGAGCCTGCTCCTGGCTCCACCCCTGCCTGTCAGATGAAGCATTTCCTGCCCCGTGTTTCAGTATTTCATCTGTAAAATGGCGCTAATGATTTTAAAATATTGCGAGCTCCAGCGACTAAAAATGCATGTAAAAACTGCATGTCATTTTCATCTGTCATTTCCTGTCAGCATAGCTCAATGCGTACTCAGCCGGTTAAGAGGGAAATTGAGATAGGAACGCTGTTTCATTAAATATTAAATAAACTGAATTAAAGTGGTTTATTCTGGTTCAAAAGCCTGTAAATCAAAAAGCAAAGCTGTGCTCTGCCATACAGGGCAAACTACTCGTTTGGAAAGACACATTTTTAAAAAATGAGTTATGCACTTCTTGGGCATTTAAAGATAATTCCTAGTGCTCACAGCATTAATATAAAATGTTCACCACCTTAATTCCTCCTCTGAATGTTTTAGTCCTCACTACGCAGTCCTGCACTTTGTGAAAGTTGGCAGGTCATTAGTTAACTCTGTTACTGTTCTTGAGCAAGAGGGAACAAATTTGCCTGTGGTAAATGAAACTCAGACTGGCCGGAATAACCACAGTGAATTGCAGTGCGGCTGACACTCTAAAACCCTCACCGAGGTGTTTCCTCAGCCAGAGAAAGGTACCGGCTATTAGTGCAGCTCCTACAGACTGTGAGCCAGGCAGGGGCTACAGTCAGCTCTAGCACGGTGCCTGTGATATTCAGTAAGTGACGCTGGGTCCACCCCACCCCTGTTGGTTTGGTTTGGTTTGGTTTTGCTTCTGTTTTCCCCTGAAAGGTGTAATTGCAGTGGGCCTTTGCATGGTGATGCCCCACCCTGCTCTTCCTGCCCTGATCACGATGCTCTGGCAGTCATGCAGGACACTGACACAACCGTGTGGCACTCTAGGAACAGCCGAAGACAAATCGTGATTCAGAATAAAACTGCCCTAGGGTGCGGAAGAGCCTGTACATTTTTATTTTTTTTTACAGGATATGCCTTATTTCTGCAAGCCTTTAAACTGCTTCATCTATTGGCAAACATATTTGAGAGGCTGCTGTCTGAATTCCCCGGGCAGGCTGCATCCATGTGACACCGGCGTGGGGCAGTGCTCATGGGGACAACAAGGCCTGGGGTGGGGGTCACAATCTCCCCGTCCCCCAGTGAAGCTGTGCCTGCTCATTCTCTTTGCATTTCCTTACAACAATTAATTAGCTATCAGATCTTCCCCTCTCAAAGCACGAGGGCATGCTCACTGCATGCTGTGGCACTGTGCCGAAGGGTGGTGCTTGCTGCAGGAGCCAAGCTCAAAACAGCCAGCGTGACGGCTGTTGGCAGCACCACAGGGCCATCAGACCTGGATACCTTCGGGCACACAGCATGGAGAGGTAGCTGTGACATTTCTGTGGCCAACCTGAGTGCCACGCTTCTCCCTCCAGATTAACAGGGCCCCTGAATCACCACTGGGCCATCGCAGGTAGGGTAGCCTGCTGTCTGAGCATGGCCCAAATCCAGCCCACCATTCCCAACCCATGCAAGGAGAATAATTTTAAAAACAAAATGCAGAGAAAGAAAACTCTCTGATGTCTTAGAGGTGACTTCCCAGTGCCTTCCTAAGCACTGTTGAGACCTCCCAACATGTACTGTCTACTGGGAAGGAAAATTAAAGTGGGACTCTCTCTTAAATGTAAAGAGCAAGCTCCTTAAGATAAGCCTATCTTTGGTGTTCTTCTGATGTTATAAAACAACGGAAATAAATCAAGGAAAAAAATGTTTTCGTAACATTCTTATTAGTGCTATGGGGATGCCTTGGTGTAGGTGTGCCAGTAGGTAGCCCTGCTCTCTGCTGGCTCAGTACAGAACTGCTGGCATCGCTAGCCCCAGGAGGACCTTCAGGTCAACCTTCAGGGTGCCCAAGGTGTCCAGGGCAGATGGATGGCCCTGCCTCACTGGCCGTATGAGAGACCCGAGTCCAAATGACTCTGGCATCACCAGTTGGAACTGCATCTGTGACAATTTGGCCTCCCATCATGTCACATCACATCAAAAGAGTGCTGCAGGCACTCTCTCACTGCGCTCCTGGAGGCTGAGGCAGTGCTCAGAGCTCAGTACTTCACTGGAGAGCATTTCTTCTAGGGATGCTCATGATGGAGAGACATGGCTGCAGTGTTACAACTGCTTGGGAAAAAAAAAAAAAAAAAAAAAAAAAAAAAAAAAAAAAAAAAAAAAAAAGGCTTAAAAAATTACTTTGGCTTTCCATTTTGCAAGGAAATGCTGACTCTTTATAGAGGACAGGTGGCAAAGTCCAAATAGACAAATAGATCCTATAAATCTGTAGGTCTTACGGAAAGCTCAAATGCCCTGGAGAGAGCTGGTTTACCCTGGTTTACCCTAGCACAGGGCAGGATCTACTACTCCATTTCATGGCTGCCCACCAGTACGGGAAAAAATAGAGAAACAGCTTCTCCCGGCTCACAGAGGCAGGAGAACTCCTGACCCCACTGTTTGTTCCCTTGTTCTGTCTTTGAGGAAATTCTATGAGTAGGTCGTGCCCTTTTGTATCCTCATGCAAAAATAGGTTTCAACTGTCATTTAAACAGAGCTAAGAAAGAAGAGGGAATAGTAACAGCTTCAGGCCCTGCAGAAGACTGACAATGGGGAATTCGGCAGGAAGGCAGGAGCATACTGTGATCATTGTATTACACCGTGGGTTTTTATTATTGTTATTTTGGGATTTACAACGGCTGATCATAATTCCTTTTGTCCCTTTCTGGTATGTGTCCTGTTGGCCACAGAAATCTGCTTTGCTTATCTTTCAGGTTGGTTATATTTACACTTCAGAGCTGGTATGCTCACGAAATGGCCCTGTCCCTAAGCCACCAGCTATCCGTGCTGGAGCTGGGACAGGCTACACGCTCAGTGGTCTGTGCATCCATCAGTCTTTGTGCACGAGGTAGAGGTGCCCACACGGCCCTGGCAAGGAGGGCATGGCCAGGGTACACGTCTGGACCAAGGAGGTGCTTGCACCTCTGGGACCCGTAGTCCTGATACAGCTGGAGTCTATCTTTGATGAGAAGTCTTCCCTTTGGTGGGAACAGTCTGATGTTCACATCTGCCCCGTCTGTTACACGACAGGTCCTGCAGAGCCTGCCATTCGGTGAACTTTATTTCCTAGAATACCTTCTAGAAACTATTTAAGCTGCATGTAGTTAATGTAGTTAAACAAAAGCTAAATAAACAACAATGAATGCCCATATAAGTGGCTGGTTCTGGACAACCTTGTGACAGACACTTGAGAAATGCCCTTTAGCTGCTGGAAGGTATTTCCCAAGGTCTCCTTGGGATGTTCTGTGTATGTGTCAGCTGATGAAAATACTGTCTGTATTTCTGTAGCCACAGGTGATTAGGAACTGCTCCCACAGCGTAATTCAAACCTACTAGGCTTCTCCCCAGACAGCATCAAGTGAGCAGAGAGAAACCCTTGCATGTCTGATTGTATGAGTGACCAAGATTTGCTTCATTTGTGCTTTGCCAGGGCTATAAAACTCGGGTCCATATAGGCAGCGTGAGGTACACTTAAACAACACGTCTGGGTTCAACATTGCTGTTTGCTGAGCTGCAAAGGCAGCAGTCTCTCCGTTCGACATCTTGGAGACAAAGAATAGGAACTTCCAAACAACGCAAACAACCTCGACCCCAGTGGTGTTAAAAGGTGCATTGAAATTTTCTCACAACCCTGCCACTACCTTTTTGCCGTAATTACTATCAAATGAAAGTTTCCGTTTGTTCTGGGGTCAGCTATTGCTTAGCTTACCTTGCAGCAGAGTATACTGAGGCCTCATTCATTCACTTTATAACTTATATATTACTAACCAGTTGGAAAATGATGACAGATTTGCATCCTGTTCTGCTCCG